ACAAGGAGCCATGGGCTCGTGATACCACCGCTTATCCTCCAGTTATGAAGCATCAATACCACCCAGACCTCCTTCATCTGGCTAAATTTATCTTCTGCCAAAAATAACACATAGCTGTTGACGGATTTCTTTTGTCGCTTTTCTAGCGAAGAAAAAAAAATATAAATATTTTTCGCCTTCACAGGCGATACGTCTTTTTGTTTTGTTATGTTTGCTTGTTTTTTGTTTGATTAATGTTTTTCCAGTTTTTGATATGTTTTTGTTTTTTGCCTTCGTCCATTCTTTTGTCGAACTGTGAAAAATAATCAGGCCAGTCGCTATCCAGAGACGCGACCCAAGCAAAGTTTCGTGCACTAACAGACACCCCTAATAAAGCCCCTTTGACAATTGCTTTTCAATGCCCAAGTGATCAAAGAAATTGCAAAAACAAAGTCGATGCCTGTGACTTAATATATAGTCGACTTTTCATGCAAATATACTAAAAGCTCTCCTGTCCGTCAAGGACTATCAATTTTGTTACTCTTTCATCTCGAGCAGTTTAAAGTGAAGAAGTGAAGATCGTTTAAGGTAAGAGACATTTGATTGTTGCTTTTCGACGTCGTCAAACTCCTGTTGCTTTACTAAGACGATTACATTTTTTTCAATGCCTACCTTTAATGCTTTACAAAGTCTTAGGAAATGTTCACTGGAAAAATTACGAGCTAGTTTAGAATGAAATAAATACCTTTTAAATCGCTAAAAGGAACTCGCTCCCCTCCCCGCCCCCGTCACAAAATTAAAATTTTAGTTCAGTAAGCGTGTACAAGACTCACTTTGTGCGTTTTGATATTTATTCATGCAAAGCAGTCAACCTTTTCAATCGATCAACCCCAGCCCAATAACACGAGGTCAGTCTGTCTAAAATAAACAACAATTTGAGTTTCCTTTGAAACTAAAATCAACAAATAGCGTTAGTTTATAATAAGAAATCTGCTGTGTAAATGAAAAATGCAAACACTTCGCCCATGTTGATCAAGCTTAATCCACGAAAACTATAGTCGAGGTAAATTTAATTTTTCTCATTACTGAAACTATCTTTGTGGTATGTCAAGAACTGGGAATTAGCAAATTCTTTTGATTAATGGAATAAATGTTCAAGTTCGCGAAACGCAATGGTCTTGTTTGAAGCATTCCGAAATCGATTACAAAATTATATTATTTTCCACTCTAAAACAAACCTATATAGCAACAATATTTTGTTTTCTCAAAAACACTTTAAGATATCTGAAATTCAAATTCACTGATAACTAACTGACAACTAAAATCATGGTTAAATGAAGACCTTCTAGTCGTTTTTGTGGACAAAATCAGTTCCAAAAAAAAATTCAGGGAAAAATATGCGAAAATCCGGGGTCAACAATTTTAATTTAGATACAACCTGTGAAACGTGTTCAAGGGTAGGTAATAGTTTAAACCAGTCATCGATTAAAACTAGTATTTGCTGGTTCGTTCGTAACTGAAGTTCAAGAAATGATGATCGACCTCCGGCCTCTGAAGCGTTTTTGAAAAACACTCGAAAACAATTTTACAAAAAGCTTGATTTGCATGTGCAAATGACCTATAAAAGTTCTGGAACAATAAAACGTAGAATACATATTGTACTATGAGAAGATTATAAGACTCCTTGAAAAGCAATCAATTTCCGACAAATTGCTTTACTTCGACATCCTAAAACATCATAGCCATGTTTGTATTTTACTGTCTATATGTAATGAATTTTATATCTTTCGGTGAATATTTAAAGTATTAGATGGACATAAGCTTTCCGTATATTAAGAAGCAAAACAAATCCATTTGGCTAAATCTGGCTCTAATTTAAATGAGTGAGAATGAATTTATCACAATACTCTCGCAATTTTAATGTAAACGTCTTAAGAGCTATACCACAACTAAATGTTTTAAATTTTTTAATCCTATCGATCAAAATCAAGAACCCAAACCATTTTTATGAGTTTCTGCGGTTCCTTTAGTGGTTTAAACACAGCCGCGGAGTAATTATTGAGCAAAGATTAACGAATTATAAAAAGGCTTCAGTATTCGCAAATAATGTTGTGGTTATCGTCCGTCCGTGCTAAAATGCGTTGTTCACGCAAAACCAATACAGTAAATTTGATGAGTTTTATAGGCTAGAAAGATAAAAATGCTCGCATTTTTAGGCAGGACAAATCTCATAAAAACAGATTATTTACAGGGCAACGTGAAACCTTATGTCTTCCTTAACCGGCCGGTTAAATTTCTAAGTTCAGTCTCTAAACCAACAAAGCTCACACGAGGAAGCAGGTCTGATGGCGTCGATATCGGGTCGTTGTGGTTTCTGCTTCCGCCTCTTCTTACTAAATCTTCCGCAGCTAGATTTGTCATGGCAGTTTTCCATTTAATTCTATCATAAACGTAGCCAGACAGATTTGCATTTGCGTCTGCCTTACGCATGCAGGGTTTTTTGTCCTTGGGTTGGCACGCT